CAATATTACAGCCATGCAATTCAGGAGAAATTAATTCAGATGTGACGTTGTGGGGAACTGTGGCTGGAAACAGGAATGTTTGTGAATAAATGGGAGTCAAAGACAGACAAGAGGCTCTTGCCAGCCACCTGCACAGCCAGAGCAAGGAGGAAGCAATGAAGTCTAATCCCTGGTGGTGCTTCTTTGTTGGAAAGCATGGCGGAGCTTAGAACAGGGTGTTCTGTACATCAGTTCTTCTGTTAATCTAAGAACAACAAAATTGTGAATGAAACTCTTTTTGATTGGGGATTAAAGCCACTGACTTTGGCTCTGACCTTTAACTCTGGATGGATTTGGAATCACTCCTTCTGTATTAGGGTGTATAACCGTCACTCTAAAACATTGTGGTTAATGAAATAAATCTTGTACAGATGTCCTTGGCTTGTTATGTTGATACTTGGTTCATTGGAACTTTGTTATGGCACAGAACATAGGATTTTGCTTATGGTGTATTCACAATTCCCTCTTAAACGATAAGCACACTCAGCACATGTCTGTTCTGTCGTGGATAATCAGTGGCATGGTGAGTGTCCATCTTGACCTCTGTACCAGCGATAAAAGAAACGGGGTGTGTGTATTTATATACATTTAGTACATAGTCTGCATACATATGTAGTATCTATACCTATGTACATATATGTGTCGTTTTCTTCTTTAAACACTGGCACATTGTAGACCTTTAATCAGAACTTTTGACTTGTGGTTGTTTGCACTGATGACACCGTGCTTTAAAAAAATAACCCCCCTGTGTTTTCTTGCTGTGATATTAGTATTATCCCCTAGGGTGTTGTGCTCCCTCTTGCCAGTTTTAGTTCCTCTCACTTTCTCTATACAAGTGTTCTTCCTAACAGTGTGCTCAGAATGCCGGTTTTCAACTTTCGTCCTCCACTTGTTTAAAACCCAAGCTGTGTTGTAGTGACACCCACTCTTAGATTACCATACCCAGCGGGGTTCTGTGACTGTCTTTTCTTTTTCTCCGCATTTAAGTCACCTGACCCTTGCCTTCTTCAGCTTTTTCTTTTTTTTTTCCCCAGCCAGGTAGGGAGTTGTTTAAATCCTCTCCCCTCTCTTATAGCAGATTTTGTTTTTTACGGAGTATAAAACTTTTCTACTAGAGTCAATTCTTTATGTGTGCTTATGTGTGTTTATTTCCTCTATTGGCATGTCTTTAACAATCTAGAATTCCAGAACATTTTGCATTTCAAAGAACGTGTTTTGGTAGAAGGACTATCCTACATGTAATCTGAGAGCAAATGTTTGTCTCAGCTTAATGGAGTTGTGTGTTCTTGGGTAAGGTTATTTTTCTGAACTTCAGTGTCCCCATTGGGGAGGCCCATTTCCCTCCCCAAATTACTCATGATGGAGAGCCTCTGCATAGTGCAATGGGCTTAATTGGCCAGAAGGATATAACAGTTTTAAATTCAGTTACGCCCCTAAGTGACTAATAATATACCTCAAAATATGTATTTTTAAAAATGGCCATAACTACAAAGAGAAATACATTAATCTACCAATATAATAGGTGTTTTAAACATACCTCCCTCATGAGTTAATAGATCATGAAGAAGACAAAAATCATAATGATGAAGGGCATAGAAGATTTAAATAGCACAGCTAATAAATTAGACCCGATGGAGATATCTAAAATCACCTTGCACCTTCCAATAAGACAATAAGCATTTTTTGCAAATTAAATCTAACATTGTATTTAAAGTATAACAAATGATGACCACAATGGATTTACCTGAGGCAGCAAGTTGGTTAATATTAGAAGATCAATCAGTGTAACTCATCTGTTAACAGATTAACATATGATCAGATTGTGAAAATCCAAAGAGTCTGCAAGGCAGATGAGAAGACTTAAGAGTTCATCAAGTTCACTGGAACAAAATCAACATGTGAATGTCAATTACATTTCCATGCATCAAGCAACAATCTATAACGTCTTAAGATTTTAATTTTAATTAAGAAAATTTACAGTGGGAACAAAACAGTATAAAGTATAGAAGAATAAATCTTAAGAGCTATATAAGCCTTTTAATGAGAAAACGATGATGGAAAAAACCCCCAACACCTTGATTGACCTAAATAAATGGGAGATATGGATAAGAAGATCATGTAGGTCGCAGCTCTTTGTTCAAATTGATTAGTAAATTAATGCAATCCCAACAAAAAATCCCAATGGTTTTCACTGTGGTACTTGACAAGCTGATCCCATAATGTGAATGCAAGAGCAAAGGGCCAAGGACATTCAAAACATTACTAAAAAACAATGAAGTGTGAAGGGAACTAGCACTACCAGATTTAAAAGCTTACTCTAAAATGAAAAACAAAACCAGAAGCCATTTACTCAGACATCTGAAGAAACAACAAAAAACTTACATCAAATGTAGTCATTAAAACAATGCGGGATTGGTACAGAGATTACAAGTGGAGGAACAGACAAGGTTGAAGAGCTCAGAAACTGACCCGCTTAGTACGGGAACTTAATTTTTAAAAGGAGGTCAGTGCAGACCAGTTGGGGGGCGGGGGGCGGAGCGGAGAATGGATTATTTAATAAACAGTGCTTGAATAACTTTTCACAAAGGAAAAAGGTGAGTTGGACCCCCCCCCCCCCACCTTGCACCAGCTGCAAAAAGCAATCCCAGGCGCATTCAAGATTCACTTAAGAAAGTTAAAACTATGAAACTTTTAGAAGACAATAAATACAGAAGGATATTGTTATGGGGCGCCTGGGTGGCTCATTCAGTTAAACATCCAACTCTTGGTTTCGGCTCAGTCATGATCTCCCAGTTTGTGAGTTCGAGCCCCACCTTGGGATCTGCACTGACATTGCAGAGCCTGTTTTGGATTCTCTCTCTCCCTGTCTTTTGCCCCTCCCCAGCTTGGTCTCTCTTTTTCTCTCTCAAAAATAAATAAACTTAAAAAAAGAAAAGGATATTTTTACGACTTTGGGGAAGGGCAGGATTTTGTAAACAAAAGAGGAAGTGCAAACCATTGAAAGATGAATAATTTGGCTATAAAGTTCAGAAACTGGAAAAACTTAGTACATTGTTTAGGGTAGGGATTCATGAGTAGTAAAACTAAAGAAAACAAAGATTAACATCTAAGATCATAGTTTCTTGGGGGTGGGGTGGAAGGAAAGCAGAGAGGAACACAGGCTGATAAACCCTTGATAGAGGTTGATAGAGGGGCGTTTTGACTGTTGTAAATAGATCAGTTCTTGAGTTAACATGTATATTCGGTGCAAAGCCAATCCAAATGCCAAAGAGTATTTATTTTTAATACAAATTAAAAATTCACATGGAAGTATAAACAGATGATAATAGGATCTTCATTGAAAGGGGAGAAAAAAGGGAACTTGCTCTACCAAAAAAATTGTTTTTAAGTGCAATTAAATTTTTACACTCATATAAAAATAGACAAAGTCAATGGAAAAGAGTTTAAAAAATAGACTCCAATGCTTTTAAGAATTTAGAGTACTCTAAAGGTGGCTTCTTGAAATAATTCTGACCATGATGGATTATTCAGTAAAAGGTGCTGGTTTAAGTAGAGAAAATTAAATTTATTCCCATCGTACCATTCACCAAAAGAAATTCCATTTGGACTAAAAATTTTAAGAGGGTAAGTTACAAAAACTTGAAGACAATATAGTTAGTATTTGGGAGGATTGGAGAAGTTTCTTCTAAGGATGTAAGCAATAGCATGAAACATTGCTGTCCAAACCAGTCACCTGTGTGCACGTAGAACACCACCCCCAGCATGTGTATATAGACCTGTATATTTTTAAATTAATGTTTATGTACTATACTAAGACACATAGGCAAAAAAAAAAAAAAGAAAAGAAATAGAAAAAGTGAAAATGTTTTAAAATATCTTTTGTGTGTATTGTAAAAAAATACCTTTTGCTCTTTCTAAAATTTTTTTTTCTTTTAGAGCTATATGATTAAAAAATGCTTCATTTTTCAAACTTCTAATTTTAACATTTTGTGATAAAAAATAATTTCTGGTTTTAAGGTAAGTTTATTTTAATGCTGGGTTTTAATGGCTATTGTAGCTAAAAAAGCCACTTGATTAAGATCTGAGTATCCAAATGACTGCTTACTGAAAAACAATGCTCATTTTCAATTCCATCTACTAGTCTTAAAAAGTGTTTGTTGAAATCTTTATAATAAATTTCCATCTTTCTCACTGTCAGTAACTTGTTCTTGCTCAATTGCAAGTGTGGCATTTTTATTGTTGGTATATATTTAAAAAACACAAAAAACAAAAAACGGGCTCAAAACCTACTGAAACTCCTGTTTGGATTTCATATCCCAAGCTTTCAGTGTGCACTTATGAGAGTTTATAGGTGACAGTTTTTGGTAACACATTTTGGTAAAGTTGAAGTATGTCTGACCATTTTGAAAGTGCTTTTAACATGAATTCTTTTGGAAAAAATAGCTACTTAATGTTAGAATGTCATCTTTACCTTGAAGGATCAGATAAAGTGGTTTTTTTTTTTAATACCTTCCACATTCCATATTACAGACAGGCACTGGTCCATAATAAAGTATTGCAAGGGTGCCCTTATGTCAGATAACATCCATGAGACCACTCACTCTGTGGGGACATACAAAATAAGTATTCTGCAAGATGGCGCCATTGTCAATGGCTGCACTTTGTGGAGCTCAAACTGCTTCTTGAAGCACGTACCTCACGTTTTCTGCGTGCTACCTGGCCACTTACATAGACACTGTGTTAATGAAGTTTGGGCAAAGCTTCTTTACTCTTTTTTTTTTAATTTTAAAAAAATGTTTATTTATTTTTGAGAGAGAGGAGACAGAGCACAAGCAGGGGAGGGGCAGAGAGAGAGGGAGACACAGAATCGGAAGCAGGCTCCAGGCTCCAAGCTGTCAGCACAGAGCCCAACTCGAGGCTCGAACCCACGAACTGCAAGATCATGACCTGAGCCAAAGTTGGACGCTCAAGCGACTGAGCCACCCAGACGCCCCTCTTCTTTACTTTTAAAAACATAATTGGCTCCTGATTTCTTCCTGCACCTCTGTGGATCATCTTGTTTACTTCAGAGGCCACTAGCTTAAATATTAAGGGAGGTGAATTACCTCACAGAAATTGCAAGATTGGGCAGTTCCAGGATCAATAAATGTGGCAGCTCATGGATGTCATCAAGGACCCAGGTTCCTTCCGGCTTTCTGCTCTGCCAGCCTCCATATGTGAGCTTCGTTCTGGAATTGCTTCCCGCAGGGTCTTGGCTCGCACAGTTGCCAGACATGAGGCCAACCACTTGAGAAGAAGACCTTGTTTCCCAGCCTTTTTTTTTTTTTTTAAGAGCAAAAAAACTTGCTCATGAGCCCACCTGCATGGTTCCTCTCACTTTTCACTAGGGAAGTTGGGGTACATAAACATGCCCAAACTAATAACCGGGAAGGAGATCGGGACCACCTTGGCAGACTTAAATAAGTCTCACCTCTTGGGGCTTTGGTTGGGCTCACCTTCCCACTGGCCTCAAGAGGAGGATGTGCTAGAACTGAGCCATGTCTCTGTTAGGAAGACGGAAGAGAAAATGGCTGTTGGCGACTATCGGTTTGCTTGAATCTACCGCATGGGGGAATGACTCCTGCTACTTAGGAGCCTCAGGGAGATGCCAAAAACAACCCCTCTGATTCTACATCAGTTTTGTTTTCCACACATGTACACAAAAACCAACTCTTACCAATTCTCATTCAGAATGAACTGATGTACTCTTGTTTGAAAGTCATGGTAGTCCAGGTCTAGAATCTGGATATAGGCACACCCCTGACTGGAATAGCCAGGGAACTGTAAAGAACCCAAAGCTGGGAAGAGCTTGAGCTACGTGAACACAGGCCCAAGAAAACCCAAGTCCCTAGCTGGGAAAATTTCTCTCTTGGGTATGACTAGTTTCACCTATAACAAAAATAAGACCATGTTGTTGAGCTAGTACTTGGTAAACACATCCTCTGTCAATGAAAAAAGATGGCTCAAATAGCATAAGAGAGGGAAAGGAAATAGATGTGAACTAAGCACCTACTTTATGGTAGTGGCTGCTGTTTACTGGCCGTCTGCCTGTGTGGCAGGTGCTGTATGCAAATTTTAAGAGCATTTGAGCAAGGCAATTAGTGCTACTCTACTGAAGTGTAGGCAGCTTCTAGCCTGGTCCTCGGTGATCCCCGCCTCCTGGTATTCATTCACCCTTGAGAGTGAGCTGGACCTAATGACTCTTCTCATGAATACAGCAAAAGTGATGGGTGTCACTTCTGTAATTAGATTACAGAAGACTGACATCCGCCTTACTGGTGTATACTCTGGCTCTTCTTACTTGCTTACTTGAATGTAAAGGCCCACCTGGCAAGGAACTGAGTGTAGCATGGGGCCAACAGCCAGCAAGGAACTGAGACCTTCAATACCAGCCCATGAGGCACTGAATTCTACCAACAGCTGCTGAGCGAACTTAGAAGTGGATCTTGCCCCACTTGAACACAACGAGGATTTCTGCCCTGGCCGACACCTTGATCATAGCCTTGTGAGAGATGGTGAGCCAAAGAACTTAGCCAAGCTGTGCCCAGATTCCTGCTCCAAGGAAACTATGAGGTAATATATACATGGTGTTTTGAGCCACTACATTTTGGAGTAATTTGTTACAGAGCAATAGATAACAATTATGAGATAGTCAAGATGTCAGAGATTTAAAAACTCGTCCAAAGTTACATAGCAGCAGCAGATTTGAGCCTTCATCTGCCAGGATGCTTTTGTCTCTACCACCTGATCATCCTGACAGCCTCTGGTGGAGGTAAGCTCTGTCCCAGTGTAATTCTTAAGACCAACTAATCATACCTCCCTAGCCGAAGCTGTTCAACCATGTCTATAATAACCTTAGGAGAGAACCTTCTCCACTGAGGTTCCATGACAGAAGCCCTAGAGAAAATGGTTTGAACAGTTTTGTTTTGTTTTTTTCACTTTTCCCAAGGCTGGTACATGGCTTCTAGATAGATGCACAGAGAGAAGTTCCATATACTGGGTGCCTTTAGGACATAAGGGGTTAATTCTCTCAGAAACCCTGGTTGAGAAGGGCTAGTGGGGAGAGAGAAGCAGAGCAGGAGAAAATCATGAGGTGTGCTCTGGGGAGAAAAATGCCCTGAATATCCCCTGGAAGAGATTTTCCTCATAAAGCAGCCTCAAAAGCTACTAGTGAAGCCAGGAACTACACACACACACACACACACACACACACACACACACACACACGAGTTCTCTAGGGCCAGTGCTCAAGGCCAGTCTGTGGCTCTCCTCTGGTGATAATAGGGTGAGGCCTTAGCTGGATGGGGTACTTGAGTCCCACTTGCACTGTTTCCTGCATTTTCCAGGGGCATCCGGAGGTGGGAGGAGCCACAGGAAAGGCCTGTCCTCAGGCAGCACTATCTGTTGGCATGAAGTCCAATGGAGCTCTTGGGAAGCGAGAGATTTCAGGTAGTGTTTTTCAGCCACATGGGCTCTTTTATGGACTGTCATGTCCCTATGCCTGAAAACACCTCTTGGAATACTGCTTGAGTACGTTATTCTCCCCCAGCTATTTGTTCATGTGTCATCTGATATCCTGTACCCCTTTAGGTATCCTGTACCCCCCGATAGGATGTACCGAGGAGGATACTTCACCTCTGTGGTATTTTCTCCAAAATCCATAACCTCAGTCTACACACAAGAAAACGTCCGACACATCCAAAGTGAGGGACTTTCTACGGGACACCTGACTGCTCCCTCGTCAGAGGTGTCAAGGTTGTGAAAAATGAGGAAAGACCAAAATCTGCCTCGGATTAAGGTGACTGTGGAGACAGGGAGACTTAAGTGCAGCGTGGGATCCTGGGATTGAGAAAAGATATTTGTGGAAAAGCTGGAGGAGTTGGAATAAACTTCGTGGCTTAGTTAATAGTGCTGTACCAGTGATGATTCCCTAGTTTTGATGAACGTACCAAACGTAAGGTTTTAACACTCAGGGATAACGGGGGAAGAATTTATAGAAACCCTCTGTACTATCTTCACAACTCTTCCATAAATCTAAAACTGTTTCCCAAAAGAGTTTTTGAAAAGTTCCATGGGTTTCTCACGGTTATAAAGTGGTGTGAAATAACAGTCCTCAAGGAATCTGAGTTTCTAATTCCTCTTTCAGAAGCCGTACAGGGAGCCACGATAATTCCAGTGTGCACGTGGCTGTTGGGTCTCGTGGCTGATCGCCAAGCTCTGTCATAAAAAAAATCCGTGTTGAGATGACATAAGTGTTTATCTTCAAATCTGAGAGTCTGAGCTTAACAAGCTGTGTTTTATTCCTACTGTCCTCTTGCTGGTGTTGACAGTACATTTTTGGCTTTCCAATCAGGGATTGGAGAATCGGATGGACATTGGTATTACCAGCCTAGCTTTAGGTAAAATGACATCGTAACCCATCAACCCATCAGAGGCAGCTTCGAAAGAAGGGCAGTTGAAGTCCATGGCGCTTGGGTCTCCTGTAACTGGGAGGTCTTCCCCAGGCACTCGGGGGGCCCCTCCCTCCTGGGTTGCTTGTAACCTCTGCTCTCAGGCTTTCCAAGGATAGTCTGGGTCTAGTGGGTACCCACCAGTTCCCAAGACCTGGAATTCTCAAGCTGATTGAAAATCCTGCTGAATCAAGCTAATCCAAGGTGGCAGTGTGAAGTGTGACCCATCGGGGCCTGGAGACACGGCAGGGTGGGGGAGTGGCCATGAGACTCAGGCCAGGGAAGCAAGTGGCAGAGCTGGGATGTAGACCAGAACCTCTGAGAGGCAGCGTGGTGCAGTTGAAAGAACATACGCTTCAGACTCAGAGATGCTTTGGGTCAGCTAGCTCCTGGTGTATGAGCTGTGTGTCCCTGTGCAGGTACTTCAGCTCTCTGAGCCTCAGTTTCTCCTGCTATGAAGCCAGAGTGGCCAGGCTTTCACTGTCCCGTGGTTCAGGTGCTTCTCATCCTTCAGTGAGAATAACAACCGCCACCATGGTTACACTCCCACTGTTCTGTCACCGAGTGTTGGCTGTGTGCCTGGCACTGTGCAAGGCCCTCTGTCCACTATCTCAATGACGCTCATTTTCCAGTGACAAAGCCGGAGCCCACGGATGTGAAGTGTCCAAGGTCACCCGCTGGTGACCTAGTAACCAGTCCTTAATGATCGCACACTGTCGGGTGGATGTAAGGGCTACAAGATGTAACCAGAACACAGCCTGGCAAGGGCCGGTGCCCAGGAAGTGCTCACTTTGCTTCCTTGGGGTGGCCCCAAGTGTCTGGATGGCAGAGGACAGTGTCCACGGGGCACGAACTCAGCCTCCTGTCATTGATGCTCAGCCCTCAGCCTGCGGGCTGTCTCGTGTCAGCAGCATTCTCTGCTGGGCAGTGCCTGCCAAGCTCCGGGTGGCTGCTCGGCCTGCAAACAGAGCCCCATCTGAGCCCATCTGAGCCCCAGCCTCAGACCAGACTTTCAGGACACATAGAAGAAGAGGTGCCCAATAAGTCTGTCAAGAGTCCGCTCTCAACAGAGCCAAAGACACCCCGAGTTAAAATGACTGCCCTGCCAGCCCAACCAGAAATCACAATCGAGTGGCTAATTATTGCTTGCTGGTTGGAGGGAGAGGGATCTAAGCCTCGGTCAAACATACTCAGAGGAGACTGAGCCCTGTTGCAGGGAGAGCTCAGCTTAGAATCTGGATCAGACCGGGAATTTTGGCTCCATCATTAATTCACCCGGAAAGTCACTGAACCACTCTGACCTCCAGTCTCCTCATCTATAAAACAAAAAAATTGGCCCATGGTGGTGAACATCGTTGTTCGGGTCTTCTGACCGTCCTTTTCTCTTCTTCATATAGTTTTGTTTGGGGAATTACTCCTCCTCTTCACTACAGTCTCGGGGGCACTGCTGGGGGAGCTGTCCCTCCCCCGTTAGCGCTGGGTGGGCAGGTAACCTGAGTTATCAGGCTTCCTTCCCTGGAGCTGGGATGGCATGTGGGGCAATCTGAAGTCTGAAAAGGGCAGGAGTCAGCCCTTCCCCAGAATGGACACGCCAGGGACTGGGTGGGGCTCCTGTCACTGAGATCCCTGGCCCTGCCAGGTGTGGGGGCTCCAAAGCCTGGCTCTCCGCACTGTTCCCAACTGGTGACCACCGTCCCTTTGTCCACCATGGCCTTACCGCTGCCTTAGAGGGTCATGGCCAGTGACCGGTGTTTGCAGCCCAAGTGCCCTGGCCAAGACCCCCAGAAGATCTCTTGGGCGGGATCCCTTCTCCATAGCAGGGACTTTGTTATCCACTTTGGAGCTCTTCTGAGACAATGTGCGGGGCAGAAAAATTAATATATTTAAAATATGGAGACGACGATTTCTTCCTCCTCTGCATTTTCCCTCTGGAAAGAAAAGGGAGATGTCACAGTGGATCCAGAGTGGAGTAACCAGGTGTGCAGTCCCTGGGAGCCCCCGTCCTTGAGCGCTCCCTGCGGAGAAATCAAGGTGTCCGCTCACCCCAGCCCTCCGTCAGGCGCAGCCAAGCCTCTGGTCACGTGAGCGATGCCCCTGCGTGGCTGCTGGGACGTCTCTCAACGCCCCGGTCACCACGGCTTAACAAACCGCAAAACACTTCCAGCTCTTCTCTCCTCCTGCTATTTGTAAATCGCGTTTGCCCCAGTGCCCGACAGAGTGAAAAATGCATTTCTAATCTTCAGGCAGCAGTAAGCGTATTTCTGCCACCGTGAGAGCTGGCGGGGAGGACCCTGCAGCCCGGGGCCCTGGTCCTCAGCACTGGGTCTCTGGGGCATCGAGGGAACTGGTGACCTTCTGGGACAGTGGGAGCCAGGTCAGCCTGGAGGGAGGGGGTGACCCTTGGGCACCTTTTGGGGACTAACAGTGGAATCTAACAGTTGGGGTTGGCAGGGGCAAGGGCGGCCCCCTCGTTACCCGCCCTGTGATATCTGGAAAGAGCGCTATGAGAACTGCAGGCCTCAGTTTCTGTCTCTAAATGAGGTCATTTAGGAAGAACAGCGCCACGGAGTGAGTCCTCTTTGTTCCAAGCACTGTGCCAGGCATTGTCACTCTTGTGTCATGTGTCCTCACTCAGCCCTGTGAGGCAGGCACCGTTGTTAGCCACCCCATTTTCCACGTGAGGTTCAGTCCTGGGGCCCAAGCAGGGCTGTCTGAGTCCAGAGGGACTTTTGCTACACTGTGGTCCCAGGGAGCCAGCTGGCGATAAATCCAGGTCTCCCCCTCCCCCCCCCAGGGCCATCGCCTCTCCAACAACGCTCCATCCGTGCACCTGTGCCTGGCACGGTGGCTCCTGGGGGGGCACCTACTTGGCGGGGGGTGATGTTGGAGGGCTGCGTGGAGCCTCGGGTGTGTACCCTGCCACCTGGTGAGGCTGATGTGTGAGAGATGGTGCTGTGTTTGCCGTCATGGGGTTTTCTCCCTGACTTTGGGTACAGGGTGCTAGTTGGCAGCTCGGTTCTTTGGAAGCAGGCAGGTCCCAGCACTGCCACTTAGAGCCGTGTGGCTGTGGCCTGCATTTCCCCCACCGTCTCAGGGGGGCTTGTACTGGAGGTGGGGCTAGTGAAGGAAGGTCCCTGGAAAACGAGAGCGGCTCTGATCACAGTGAGTGTGAATGACTTCTTTCCTTTAAGGAACACCATTATCACATGCCAGAGAATGACAGCAGAACCATCATACTGTCTAGTCAAAGCCCACTATTCAAATTGCCTTTTAACTTTTCTTTGGGCTAAAATTAGATGCCTGTTTCTTTTAACTCAATAAACAGCCACTGAGCGTCCCCCACGGATTGGATTAGGTGGTCTCCATGGTAATCCAACACATCTACACATCTTATTAGATTCATACCTAGACTGCGGTCCCAGAGTGGAAGTCCTTGGGTAAAAACAGTAGCTTTCAATCACTGAGTGTACCTGTTGTCAGGCTGTGAGCTAAGCACTTTGTATACACAATGGCATTTAATCCCCAAAATAGTTCTATGAGGGAACTAACATTTTCAGCTCCGTTTTACAGAGGGGCAAGCGGGCTTCAGAGAAATTCAGTAACCGATCTGTAGTCCCTCAGCTACCACGGGCTAGAGCTCTGGTCCAACTTGGGTCTGTCCCCAAAGGCTGTGCTTCTGGTCCTGGGCCACAGTGAAGACCTCGGAGCGGGAATGGGGCTCTGAGCCACCTCAGCATTTCAGGATACTTAATGGGAACCGATCGTTTACCCACAAAATGCTGCTCGGGCTGGCTCACTCTGCAGCTGAAATGCTGTTAACTCTTCATGGTCAACATGGGAGTCTAATTTCAGTCGAATTGGCCCTGATGGGCAGTGAAAGATGTGATTGATGAGATAGGGTGAGTTTGCCCTTAACTGCACTGTGGGCAGGCAGCCTGAAGCCTGATGGGGCTGGGAACCTTAGGTCTGGGAGCTCCCGTTTCGCCCTCCTCCCCCTGGTCTGCTCAGAATCAGGGGGGGATGAGAGTGGGCAGCAGGGAACCAGAAAGGTCCTGAAAGGTAGACACAACTGAGCAACCTGCACCAACAGCTCGAGTCCGCCAACAGCTACCCCAGGAAGTGGGAACTCTCCCTATTCCTGGTTTCCAGACGAGGAGCTGAGGCTCAGAGAGGTACCCAGGTGGCAGAGCCGAGATGGCCAGACCCAAATCAGAGCCCCACAGGAACTATTCCCTACACTGTCCTCTCTGCTGCCCGCCTGTCACCGTGTGGCAGTGGACCCCAGGCCAGACACTGTGCATCACCCCAAAGACCCCACTGGGCTGAGTCTGCCTGCCTGGCTTGCTTCTACTTCACTGGCTAGAAGAGCTGCCAGATCCCGGGTCCCCTCATGTGCAGCTGGGATCCATCTTGCTGCAAAAGCCCAAAGCCTTACGTCTACTTGCCCCCCGCGACACATTGAGGTCTGGCACCACCCGTCTGCCTCCCTCCCCCCCCCCACCATCTCAGCCCTGGCGGCATGGGTTGCAGGCCTTCTCCCGACATTACCTGGCAAAGGGTCCTTGGCCAACCTGCTGCCCGTCGGTCTTGTCACTGGCAAGAAGAGGGGGGTCCTGAGCTTCGGTGCGTGGGGCTAGCAGCCGGGAGGCTTGTTACTCC